TTCTGCACTGAAGCAACATGCTCACCAGAAGAACATTCCATTTTCCAATTATGGGTTGAAATCTTTTAATTCTTATTTATTTTTAATTTTTCAATTGTTCAACTTTCAACTGCTGTTGAATTTCAGCTTCTTGTCAATTATCACTCTCAGAAATTCAGAACTAGTAAGTAATGTTTCCAATAATTTTGTCAACACTCTTCACGTTGATAGAGGTATGTTGCCAATAGAGCAGCTGAATGGTATTGAGTTCGTTTTGGAAACATTGAATAACATCATGTTCGAGTCACACCAGTCTTTATTATTTCATTTTGAAGCTTATAATCTCGTGGATATTGCCTGCAGTTTTCTTACACCATATATTACGATAGTGTGATTTCTCCTCATTATTACCATTTTCTCAATATTTAAATCTGGCATCAGGAAACTTGCCACAAACTATAGGCCAATAACTATCACGAACATTTTCGCAGAAGTTTTTGAAACATTTTTGAAAAATAGAATTGTTCATTTCCTACAGAAGAGTAATATCTTAAATGAATGCCAGTTTGAATTCAGAGAACATATTTCAACCAAAAATGTTGTCTTTCAATTGGTTCACAGTATATGGAATAATTTCAATATGGGGAAAAAGTGCCTAACAGTTTCTCCAGTTTTGGCGAAAGCCTTTGACACTGTTAATCATCCTTACTGAGGCGTTTAGAACTCATAGGAGTAAGAGGAATCACCCTTAACCTATTTGAAAACTATCTATCTGAGAGAAATCAAGATTGTTAAAATTAACAATATTTATAGTGATCCACTATCTATAACAGTGGGCGTCCCGCAGGGGGCAGTACTAGGCCCAATTTTGTTCTTAATATACAATAATGACATTTACAAATTCGAAAACATCCAAGAAAGCATCACATCTTATAGAGGCGAAACAGCTCTGTCATTTCGAGGCGATACGTGGGACGACGTCTATAAGAGAGCTGAAACGGGACTGACATCTGTTTTCTCTTGGTTTAACACAATTCTTCTGAACTTAAATATCTCTAAAACTAAACATGTAACGTTCACCCCCACAAATAAAGATCAACCTTCCAAAAATACGCCCAAACCTCAATGATATGCACATGTCCTAAAGTTATTAAGGTAAACAATATGAAATATATTAGTGTATATGCGATGGGACGAATATGTAGACAAGGCTGTTAAAAGACTCAGCAAATTGTCTTATAAATTCTACCAACTCAGAAATCTTAATAATTAAAAGCTACTAATAATGATATGCAACTTACTCACCGAATCGGTTCTGAGGTATTGCATTATAATATGGGGTGGTGTTCGCCAAAACCTGTTACATAATCCAGAAGTAGTGCAAAGTACTATCTTGAAAATCATTTTCAAGTGTAAAAAAAGATACTTCACTGCATCACTATACAAATAATCAGACTTATTTAGTTATTTGATGTGAGAAAATTATACACTTATCACTGCATACTATACCTAGAGGCATAATAACCATACATCCAATATAAATCTTCATCAAAAAACGAATGTTCCTCTCTGTAGATTAACTTGCACTTGAAGATTCATATCGTACTCTAGACAAAAACTAGTAAACCTAGTTCCTAAAGAAATTAGAACAATCTCTTATAAACACAAATTCAAGTCAAAACTGAAGGAACATGTGAATCAATACTATGACATATTGAAAACAGTATATGAACTAGATTCCTAATCGAAGTTTTCTGTTGGTTATAGGAAAACCTTAAGGCGCTCTCAGAGCGGTGCCCGTGCCTTTTTTCTGGATAGAATCCAGCAATTTTAGGGTATGTTTGGGGGTAGTACTTCATAAATGAGAATAATACTCCAAAGAAGGTCTGATCTGAGCTTTATAAAGCATCAAAAGTTGCTGAGGTGTGTACAGTCTTCTGGTTTGGAACAGTGTTCCAAGCTGTTGAAAAGCAGCCTTTGCAATTCCAGAGACATGATTGTGCCAAGACATATTGGTGTCCATTTTAACCCCCAACAAACTTATGGGAGCAGAAAGCGGAATTGTGTGACCTGACATTATTGTGGCATTGAATTGAACCTGGTTACTTTCACCCCAATTCGAAATCATTTCCAGATCATCATTAAGATAATCAACCTCCTGCTGTCTGTGAAGATGCGCCTCCGTAGCCGATGTCCTGGAATCCAAAAGAAATGACGAGACAAGTATGCTGTCGTCAGCAAAGCAATATATTGGATTCTTGGTTTTTTCCAATAAGTCGTTGATATACAGTAAAGAGAAGGCTGGAAACAATATAGATCCCTGGGAAACACCAGCGTTGATAGTGAAAGTATCGCAGAGATATCCATCGACGGCCACTTGCAGGAAACGTTCTGTCAGGAAGCTTAAGAGCCATACACAAAAATGATCTGACACGCCATAGCATCGAAGTTTGGCCAGCAACAAGCGCAACAGCTCTTGATTATCCATGTTTCTCGATTGCGTTATTCCAAATATGGGAGACATGCGATAGAAGGTCGCCTGTTAATTTTTGTTCCCGAAAGGCATATTGATGATCGCTCAAAATGTTGAATCCTTCCAAATATTTGAGAATATGGTGGATTACGACTTTCTCCATGATTTTTGATACCACTGATAGCAAAGCGACTGGTCTTGTCCTTTTCTTGGATTAGGCTGAACGCAAGCAATCTTCCAACAAGAATGAAAAACCCCTTTCTTGTAAGACAGGTTGAAAAGTCTACAAAATATTGGTGCGAGTTCATTTGCGCACGTTTTAAGTATGATGTCGGGCACTTCATCAGGACCAGACGCCTTGTTGATATTCAGCTCTTTCAAAATTCGCCTGACTAGACGCTGTCGAAAAGTAATTTCCGGCATTTTGAATTCTAGTGTGAGAATAGTGGGTGGTGCCTTTTCCAGAAAATCGACAGTGGAGTGGGACGCACATTGTTCGGCTAGTAGATTTGCTTTTCCATGGATGTTGTTGCCATCGAACCATCTGCTTGTGTTAGTGGTGGAATTGTGTATTTTGTAAAGTTCTGATTAACAGCTTCAGCTACCAACCAGAAAGATTCACACCCGTTGAAATTGGCAAGCAGTTTACCCCTCATTATCTGATTGTGAAGTTCTTTGCTTTCATTTATCCTAAGTTTGCATTAACAAAATTAGTCCGGTTTTCGGCACTGGGCTTTTTGCGGCACTGCCTGTAGACGAGATTTTTGGAGGCGACAGCTTGCTCGCAATTTTTGTTGGACCAAGGTTTGCTGTTAGAAAGTCGTTCAATTGAAAAAGGAATATATGCATCCATGGATGATAGAATAACTTCTGTGACTTCAGAAGCACAAGTTGGTGGATCTTTAGAGCTGAAACAAATATCTAGCCAGGGGAAATTTTGAAAGTGGTCTTGAAGATCCTCCCATCCAGCTGATCTGTTATGCCAAACTTTGAGCGGCTTATATTGTTTCCCAAGTTAATACCTTGAATCAGTTGAATAATTCAGTGTCACCTTCTCTCCTACTATCACTCTTTCTACCGGCCTTCTTTCAACTATCTGTACTATTTCTATTCACATTACCAGAGTAGGTGTTTGCTTTATTATGCAAAAATGACACTTCAAACTATATAAAGCCAACGTCTAAGTTGTTTATAGGTTGATTAATACAACTCAAGCTCTGCTTAGGCAGCTCAGGTGTTATATCGTGAGTAAGACGATCTCACCGGTATCAGACTGCCAACATAACGACTTCAAAGACTTTGAGTCAGCAGAGTCAGCAGAACTTGGAACCTTTGTTATTTCCTATCGTCTCCTGGTGACACCGCTGTCCATACATTATAAATGGATCCAGTAATAATTTAGAATCCGTTCCTCATTCATTATAGTTTTGTATTTGTCTTTGTAATGACATTTTTCATTATTTGTTCAAGTAAAGTTTGTATTAAAAAAAGAGTGTTTTTAAAAAGTCATATTCAAAAAAGTTAATATGACCTGAATATTTTCATCTTCTTATCTAATTTCAATGGGTAGGGGTGAGAATGACAGAGGACAGAGGGTAAAGGTTTGTCACTACGCATCTGACGCTGATTCGAACCATCGTCCATCAGGAAACAATGGAAAGGTACACTGCAATTACAAGCTCAATTTTTACATAAATGGTTCCTTTTTATAGTAATATTATAGTTAGTTCACGTGCAGTAATTTTTAATAAACTGTAATATTTTTTAGATTTTTATTGCTTGATAATTTGCATCACTCTGAAAAAGGATGATTTCTCGAAGTTAATTTTGCATCCTCTTTGTACCTGCGCCTTTGGTCTTGGTCCATCATGGTAACGTCTTGTTACGGGACGGCCATGCTTTGGAATTCGAGCGCACTTTCTCATGGAGAGGCGTCAAAAATAAATTCTCTGCACAAATGCATGCATTCATAACTTCAGATCACTCTATCTATTGTCAAATTATTGCCTTTGGTAAAATAATGTAGGTCTGACGTCTGGGATTTTGGACTATTATCCAACTTCGAAGTATGGAGAGCTACTGACAAATGACATACACAAAGATTTAATGAAATATATTTCATTGTAACCAATTCCGACTAGTTCACAATCATAAAGAATTTCGGCCGTATTCCCAGGAAATGTCCAAGATGAAAGAATGGAAGCTAAACATGAGTCTCTCTCAACTGAAATCAGATGTATATCCGTTCTAGAGCACGCACCCATAGTCTCGTTACATTCATAACTCCTACTTGCGAAGTTTTTATGAAAGGCCAGATTGATTTACAAGTTCATGTTAGTACACCTACCACGTCTGTCTTTACTATTGTTTCTGTATAATACTGCTTGTTCTGTATTTCCGGTTGAAGCGGTTATTTACATTCGTCGCTATTGATCACTATGCAAAATTGTTTACTAACTGCGATAAGGTTCGTTCGCGACAACTGTTAAATAGTTATATCTCACTTCTGAGTCAGTCATATGAATTATCAAAATTAAATCACTCAGTACATCAAAACCTACTTTATTGCCTTGCTTCATACTTGGTTTGATATTCGTGAATCGAATATGCTATCGCTAAATGTATCTAAAACAAATTACTGCTTTAAAAAAGAAATTATCTTCTGGTTGCTTTGCCATAAATGTCATATCTCTTGAACTCTGATTTTCAGCAGCAATAAATGTATACTATTTACTTATGTAGAGTCATTTCCGGCATGGAATTCCTTTCTTGGAATTCCTTTCTTGAAATTCTGAATGATTGCGATCCCTGGAAAAAAAAATTATTCGAGGTCAAAGGTCAACATTCTCGAAAAAAATTGGTTTTTGGCAATTTTCAGGAAAACGGTAAGTTTTATCATAAAATAACTTCAGATAAAAATTGTAGATCATACAATTCTCTACAAAAAATGTACCAATACTTTTTTTCTTAAAGCCGCTGTTTCTGAGATACGACGAGTCAAAAAGTTGTAATCGTCATTATATGCACACGTTTCCACGCCACTTATGAGGTACTTAGCGCGTTTTTTTTAACGTGGTTACCCAGTAGGCCTATTCCACATGTCTGTTGTGATTCTGTCAAATTGAAAACTTGCATAATAAAATATATCAGGTAGGGTTGGAAATTATAAAAGCGATTGAAATTTAAAAAATGTAAAAATTTATTCATCTGAGTCATAACCTTCAAATACTTCTTCTTGTCGTTCTTCTTTCTGGTTTTCTTCTTCTTCTTGATCTTCTTCTTCTTCTTGATCTTCTTCTTCTTATTGATGTTCATCCTGGGTGTAGGTAAACTATGTCAAGAGTGATGTATCGCATGTTTCCTCGTTGGTATCAAATGAACACTATTGGAACATGATTGGCCTTGACAATGTGTACATGCCAGAGAACACAACAGTCTAACTTTTTTACAACCACATTTAGCGCTGCATCCCTTTTTATAGTTGCAAAAAATTGTGTTCAGCAGTTTTTCCGGCGCAGGTGGGAGTAAAGTCTGAATAGGTTCTAATGCATTGTCGACCTACTTCCAACCCCATTCTTTTGGGTCTAGCTGATAACCAATGATCAGCCAAAAGGGTAGGGGAGCTGGTCTCCAAACCTGAACGAAATGAAGATGGATTTCGGCTGATAACCAAGCCACACTTGAACTTGGTAATATACCCGGAAAAGATGTTGATGAGCAGCAACTGAGGTTGGAGGAAACAAGATAATTGCACCTGTTTTTTATTTTTAATATTTTTTACGAGACATGCATATCGATACTTATCTAAGCAGGTAGTTTTTTTCAGAGCTTTGTACATAGATAGAAGAAACTGAATCCCGTTGGTGATAATTTCTTGTTGAGTCGAATTCCTTTTTTTGAAAACTTCAGTACATTGAACTAAATCTTGTTTTTCAAACATTTTAAAGACTGTTGCTTTACCCCTCGTGTAAAATGCAGACGTCGTATCACAGCCAGTTATTGCGTGTAAAAATAGTACATGATTTTGACTCTTTGCAAAAGTAGATAAATTTTTTGACGAATATATTTCGATTCGACTTTGAGCTTTTCCTGGTTTTAGAAAGAAAATAGTTTTTTCAGGTGGAGTTCGGGCAGTAAGAAGTACGAGTAAGTCTACATTTTCACCAACAACAATAGTTGTATTTGTAAAATTAAATTGCTCTATAGCTGTTTTAATAATCAGTACGTCGGCATCGTTATTAGCCTGTTTAACCAATATATTTTCGCCAATAAACTTATACTTCAACATTGAAATGAACCGAGATTTGTATCTGTCAAATTGGATCACTATATTTTAGTTCTGTGATTGGATATTTATAACCAAAACACTGGCAACACCGCTGTGGACACGATACATTTTATTGGTTAACAGACACGCGGCCAATTTAAACTCTTGCTTCTCGAATTGTTTTTTTTCTGCAAATATAAAGAGACCTTTGGACCGATTAGGCTTGATAAGTATAATATTTCCCTAACTCGATCAGTGTATAAGCAAACCAGTATCGTTTTCAATATGTCACATGAAACAAGACCATTGTCTTGAGTCAATTTTACATGTTGCCTTATCTACTAGTCTTAAAATAATTTTACAATATTGCCTAATCTAACAGTAAGGTAAATCTAATGATAAATCATTTCAACAAGCTATATAATATACTAGAAGGTAACACTTATTTCAACAGGCATCTAGATGCCTGTTGTTGTTAACTTGTTCATTAAGATTTTTAAGGCAAGTAGTACTCACATATTTACTCAGGTTACGCTACGCCCAACGATTTTATTATTTTTACCTTAACTTGGGGTGTGTATCGCTAACAACATATAATTTTTAGCCAGCCGAACGCTGGATAAAAAATCTTGACTTGGATGGGAGATCCATGCTTGTATCCCGCTTCTGAGTCGACAAAGTTCTATGTATATATTACATTGGATTTGCATCTATTTCATAGTGTACTACTTTAGTGCTTGTTAAGCTATGTCATTTGATATCCATATTGAGGTAGTTGTGACATAATATGTATTTCGCCATTTTGTAGTTGCGGCCATACTGAATTTGCTTTTTTTTTTTCAAAATATACTCCTATTCTACTAGTCTAGTCCTGTCATTTGATACCCATATTGAGGTGCAGCCATCTTGGATTTACAATGATACAGAATTGATTAAATTGTATTGTTATCAAAACTAATGAAATGTGTGTACCAAATATCAGATCAATTTGTCAACAGGAAGGGAGTCAAACTCTAATTAGTAAATTTGAACCAAACAAACAGTGCAAGATAAATAAAACCATTTACAAATTCCCCTTTTTTATCAGACCTTCGTTGAAGCAAAAAACAAACATTAATTTCCAATAATGAAATAATTGAAGTTTAATTGAAAGTATTTGTACATCTACGTTGACGGTACAAGAAATGTTTATATATTCTTCAATTGCTTTGATCTTGACGCAACATATAATTTACATTCATCGTGATATGCAAAGTACACAGAAAGTCAATCATAATAATGCATACATCAAGGTAAGATTTGTTTTGACTGAACAAATCTAGGATGAATATACATTCAAAAAATAACGTCCACAACTTTCACAAATTACTGCACATCAAAAAAGCAAAATATGGTGTTGATATTTCGATTCTGGACAGCTCGAAAATTTGTGAGCTGCTCTAGTTATCAATTACTATTAAATAAAGGAACGAAGTATTTCACAAATATTTGATTTTCATCCTCATTTCCTTTTGATTTTTGTTAGATTCCCTAATCTGAATTGATGACGATAATAATGGGTTTATTTCAAACAGGTATTAGGATCAATAATAGCACAAATTGGTGTTGCAAACGTTAAGAATATAATGATACATGAAATTATTTTAGTCTTAAGTGTAATCATTTTCAACATTCAGTAGTTCTTATTTTACGATTGGGTTGGGTATCTAAAATAAGATTCGATGATAAATCCAAATATTTCAATTTCTGAAACTTTTTGAATTTCAACAATTGATCAAAATCCGGTAAACCATACCATGCCAAGATATTTATATAACAATTGTCTATTTTTCAATAAAATAATCAGAAGAAACTTTCAAAATTTGTGAGGATGGTATACGTATGTGTGTGTTTGTGGCTCTTTCACGCCTAAACAACTGAACGGATTTAGACGAAACTTTACATAAATACAACTTATACATCAGAATAACATATAGGCTACAATTTATAAAACTTTTATGTAATTTTGGTCATAATTCAACGATAAGTATTCGGGTGATAACTGTTTTCACTCGAAGACGATTGTGGATACTAATAATCGAAACGTCGTGACATAACTTGATTTGAAATCTTTCAATTTTTAATTTTCATTTTTTGTTAATAATAATTTGTTAATAATAATAATTTGATTTTTTTTGTTGTTGCTTGTATTTTATTTCTTGTAATTTCAGTTTTTTGCTTACTGTAATTGTTATTTTTCAGCTAATCGAAACATTGTCAACCACCTTCAAACAAATGTTATCGATAAGTATTAAGTAAGTCAGAAAGATTCTTGCTCCCTGAGAGCTACCTTGGCGTGCACTGCCTATACCGTTAGAGTTACTTGGATACTTTTTTACATTGCACATTTCAAAATATCTTCCAAATTCTTATAAAAATTGATACAATTATTGTTTTAAGTATATAATGTAGATACACTTTGTCTTTACACTAAGTAATTTGGACGAATCACTTAAAAATGATCACGATAAGATTAACTTGACGCAATGCAGTAAGCCATCACACGTCGCGCCTACTGTAAGACGACGGGGGACGATGCGCGGGGGTAGAGAGGCGGTCTAAGCAATGAAGCGTCATCGCCGAGAACGTGGGCAGACGTGTGGGAGCGGACGTCGTTGACGGTTGTGTTAATTTTTCGGATTTCTTTATAGGTAACATGATTTGATTCTCGAAATTTCTCCATATTTTTTTAGTTACTGTATTCTTAAAGTGAAAATACAAATTACTAGCTCCCGCTTTTATATTAAATACAGCCGAAGCTACTAGTAGTTGTTGTAAACAACTACTGCTACTGATTCTAGAATCTTAAAATATGCAGGTAGGTTCTTTGTATAACGTGAATAAGCATCAAGAAATCCTTCGAACAGTAAAGCCAGAAAAAAATAAAAACCATTTTCCGAAATTTATGTTTTTTCCGGATATCTCCGGATATTCTCGGGATTTCAGAACTTTCTCAACGGCATATTAGTCAGGTAAATGCGAAACTTTCCCCCAATTCAACCATCTTCGTATCTCTCATAATTTCCGAGATCTCAATAGTGAGGATCGAATTTGTATTATATTTGACGGGATTTATGTGAAAATTATCGCACTTTCTTGTATTTACATTTTGGTAAGAGGAAATGCGATCATATTTCGGCCTATTGGTGTGTATGAATACACATTACACACATTTCACAAATGAAAATGTCCGGGAAAGTTGGAATTTTCAAATATGTATATGAATCTCTGCAGGAGATTCTCTGATTAACACCTGCTTAAATTCGTATAATCCTTTTTAAGCAATACATATATTTGGAGCCAATGAAGAGCTTCTCCAAAGGCAATCGCCATGATTCTAGATTCTATATGTGCATAGTAATAATTCACTAACTGTTAAGTTCCTGGAGATTCACTCTGTATAGCAATAACAAAAAAAAGGAGCACCTATAGACTGACAACTTTTAAATTGAAAGACTTTCAACTACCTTGAAGTGATTATGGAAAAACCCTCAGAATGTAG